GAAAATCGAAAATTTTAACACAAAAATAGTGTTTTTTTAACTACGGCAACCGTTTACATGCAGAAGATAAAGTGTCGGGACAAATTTTTTTTTTTCATTTTATAGTACATAAAATAAGCTTTAATTTGATATATGTTTAAAGGACGCAGTATTTCCGGAACATTTTCAAAAATTAAGTTGAAAAAGTTAGTTTTTGTAAAAAAGTTGCAATTTTAAATCCCCCCCCATGAGCAGGTTAAGTGTTAAATTTTCAAAAAAATTATATCAAATGAAAGGACAATATCTAAGGTTTTAGTTAAAAAAAAAATTATGTTGATTTGTTGATTTTTGAAAAAGTTAAAAAATAAAAAAATAAAAACAAAAATAAACACATCATGGTAAAATTAATACCTTCTCAGCTTCGCCTCGAAGCTAAAAGAATTTTATATTCCTATTAATTTGGAGATATTTAATTAAAAAAAAGTTTTTTTGAAGTGACTACTTTTAACAATAGCGTAATTTTAAGATATTTGTCTGAATTTCTAAAATTAAAGGATTTTTTCCGAATATTTGGTCATTATAAGTTCAATAAAATTTATTTTATGTTTTTTTAAAATTGGTAAAGTGACATCTGAGAAAAATTAACGACAGACACAAAAAAATCCTATAGTAAAATATTTTAATTTGAATAAGAAATTTTTTCTAGCGAAGAGACTCTATAGTGATGGGATCCTTGATATTTAATGAAGTTATTCAATTTATTTGAGATAAAAATCAAACGAATTTTAAAGTTTAAACGTATGTATTATACGTTGTGTTATACGTATATTTCAAGTTTTGAACGTCTCTGGTATAAGGTGACGTCCAATTTCAAAAAAAAAAGTATGTCGGATGAAAGAAGTAAATGTTTAGTATTTAGAAACAAAAATTTCTGTTGATCTTTACGTTTTTCAAAAATGTATAGCAATTTATAGTTTAAAATATAAAATCGAAAATTTTAGCACAAAAATAGCATGTTTAAATACGACTGCCATTTGTACATAAAGATAAGCCGTAGTAAAAAGATTAGTTCGGGATAATTTTTTTATATTAATGAAAGTGAGAACAGTGGTTGGATATCAAGTAATTGTACGATATATCGTCACATAGACGTTAGTAACACGTTAGTCTTGAAGAAAAACGTCTCATCTCACCCATCCTAAAAAAACGCGTTACGAATACTGCACAAACGTGATTCAAACCACCTACGAGAATACCTTAAAAGAGTCATAGTTACTCCTAGCCCTCAGGTGGGGAACCGGATTGACCCCTCCCCGGTCACGGAGTCAAAGGTGCGGGGAGTATTGGGTCTACTAACCATTTCCGGAGTCTGCACTGTAGGCTGTTTATCTATCACAATAAGAAAGGGGACTACGCGACCTGTCCATGGTTATAATAGATGACGCGGTAGCCCTTTCCTACCCAGTATAGCAGAAACCTTTCCTAGAGTGGGTTCGCAGCAAAACTGTTCATTAGCCGTACTTAAGGTGCACGGCAGAGCACTAACTAATACAGCCTCCTATTTAGAAACCGTAGCTGGGATCAGAGTGCGACCTTCTGTCCAAATTAATTGGCACCCAGATTTCCCGGTTTACCAGTTTTGCATAGCAGTCTCTGATTGGTCACGGCCGACGCGAACGTGTATCTGTTACACTCACGACTGTACGTCTATCCGAACCTAAAGCCGCAGGACTGCTGAAGCCCACAACCTGTTCAACCAGCAATCTGGAATAGGATATGAGGACCTAACTTTAAGGGCAAACTCAAACAGATACCAAGTTTACCCGCGCCATCTCACCTACGAGAATACATTAACATTGATACTTTTTCTAACGCAGATTGCACTAAGTAATAAAATGTAAACATTCAAAGTTTCTTATCATTTTTTACAAGAAAAATCACATAACAAAACCTTGTCTAATAAAAAACGTTAGATTTATCAATATTTTATGCTAACTGATGTATTTTATTATTTTAATCCAATTAAAATAAGTGTTTTCATGTTAACTTATTTACAAAGTTAAACAGACACTATTTTATAATAAGTTTATTACTACAGCTTTGTATTTCTCGTATTGTTAAGCTTAACCTAACTTAAATGTTTTTTGCTAAAATACCATAACAATATATAAATATATAATAAAACTATATAAATATTATTAGTGTGAAGTGGGATAAATGTAAGCTAATAGGGAAATTCTTGATTCACTTTTTGGATGACCTCTAAAACACGGAGCGTAAGCTACTGATGAAAACTTCAAAAAAATTCCAAGGTCTGAAGTTATATATTATATAATTAATAATAACCGACGTATATGATATTGTCCGTTTGCTGCGCCGTGGTCACATCACCGTCCACTATCCTCTAAATTTTATTTTGAAACTACCTGTATATCGTCAATACAATAACTATCGACGTATACAACATGGTTGTTAACTCCCTCATTGGTACACTAACCTTGCTAATGTAAGGTACGATTTTGTGATATATTTTACAATGTATAAGAATCTCATAAATCGTTTTATTTTTAGGGACTTCTAATTTAGAAATAGCATTTAGGCTATCAATTTTAATACCATCATGATTTAAAATAAAACCCAACATTTTAACCTGTGATCTTTTGAGTTGTATTTTCTCATCATTAACTATAGTACATAGTTATAGAGCTCTTTCTAAAACCTCTTTAAGTATTTCATTATGTTTTTTTTAATTTTCAGTAGCTATTTAAACGTTGTTTGTGTATATTTTAACGACTTCAATACTACCGAAAATTTCAGAGTTTTGGTTTTGGCACCCTTCTTTATAACATTAATAAGCCAAATGGATTTTTTAAGAATTTATACATAGCGAAAGGTGTTGAAGAATAACATAATTTTGTGGACTTTTCATCAAGTTTTATTTAATGAAAACTAATTTTTAAATTACAAATTTAATTTGTAAAAAAATTTTTGTTTTTCAAATTACATAATATTTCTTCATGATTGGCAATAGAATGAGAATTATTTACTGTGTTACCAGCCGTTTTGAAATATTATATATTTACAATAGTAATTCAAATCGGTAAATCTCTCATTTTATCAATGTAAATGATAATTAAGACCACCCATAAGTTATTTTGTCAAAATATCGTTGAATATTAGTAGTAATCAAACATTTTTCAATCTCCTTTAACTAAATTGGTTCAAATATTTTTAGTAACAAATCATAGAAACAAAACTAAAAAGTTTTATCTTCTATGAACATAGTATAATACAATCTTTTGGTTTTCGATAGCGAGATAACTAAATAGAAAAAATTTGGGTGGTTGAATTTAATTTATCTTTTTATATTCTTATCTAACTGGTTGACTAATACCTCTTAGTTTCACTAGATAAGAGTGTCAACTTTATTATTATAAATGGGAACAAACATATTTAATTAACTAATAAAATAAAAAATGTT